TCTGAATTCCAAAAAATTTTATCGTACAAAAAATCGTCGCAAAAAATCACGTAACAAAATCGCCGAAAACTTAGAAACCCATAATTTCAGGATCGCGGGTCTGAATCCAAGCTGGAACTTTTTTAATTTACTCACGAAGTCGGCTTATATCTGGGGCTACGGTCTCTAGTAGAAAACTTGAAAACACGGACAATTTTAGTTTGAATCACTGTAATTTGAGAACAATATTTTTTTTCATTTGAACATGGCTTATTGAACGTAAGAGTTGTGTCCCTTTAATGTTTTTTTTCAGTATAAGCCAAAATAGCGGAATCCGAAAACAATCACAGCAATGAAAACGTGGGAATCCAAAATTTTAGTATTGCAGGTCCGGATACGGTCTGGATACGGTCCAGATACGGTCTTAAATGTTTTTAATTTGCTCACAGAATCCGTCTGTTTCCAAAATGGTATGATATGTTGGGCTACAGCCTCTAGGAGTAAATTTGAAAAGGTGTGGCACAGCGACACGCGGACACTCGCGTTTATTATATAGAAGATGTTAAGATGTTTCTTCCGCTAATTCCCAGACTTCATGAATTTAAACATGCAACTAGGCTAACACATTGGTTCCACCCTTTCACTCTCGAAACGGTTTAATGTAGCCGTCTCTTCTACTCCAACAGCTCCATGTCTCGCACCTCTCGTCAGTGGAATTTTCTTCCTATTACCTGATTGCTATAATCTTCAAATATTCAAATGTAATGTCAATCGACATCTTCAGATGCGCTGATCTATTTCCTGTCCTTCTCTTCATCCTTTCTTCTATCACGCCTTTTTACTCTTGCTCATACTCTCTGTAATCTCTTGCGTGCTCGTGGCATCCTGCCTTGCTTGGGGTGAAATACTTTAAAAAAATACTATTTTAAGTGGACTGTGGATTTCGAGGATTGGAAATAAATAAATCATCCTGAAGTGGAAAAAAGGCTATGCAGAATTATTGGTCCAATGAAAAATCTGTGATGATAAAGTCATGATGATATGCAAATTCCTAAATAGAACTGATTCCATCTTTTTTATATGAGTATAAAGTACCTTGGCGAGTCATTTCAATGCAACATTACTTAAGTTTTTGCACTAAAATCATGATTTAAATTTCTGCTGAAAAAAGTTGCATTTTTTTAATTAGAAAAAGGATAATAACTCAACGAGCCAGGCATCTTGGAATTTCCAAAAACAGTATTCACATCACCCAAATGACGTTGGCTGCTAATGGGTGTGTTTGAAGTTCAGAGTTCACCGGAAGACCCCAAAAGCTAAACAAGAGAGATGGAAGTAAGATTATGAGATTCTCGATAGGGTATCCATTAATTAACAGCCCGACAGGTGAGGAATGGATGCAGTCTTGACAGGGAGGTTTTATTTGATACGGTACGAAGCGTATTACGAAAAATCAAATTGAATGGGTGTATAAAGGGGAAAAAGAAAAACAAGCAAAAAGCCAAATATCATCATTGACCTAAAAACATTCTTCAGTCTTTTATTCTTATACTTTTAACATCTAACATGCAATATTGGAAAATATCAAAAGTAATTTTAGTGATGAATTCAGAATAATGTTATAGGATTGTGTTATATAGTAATGCAAGAAAATAAGACCAGTGAGAGAAGGAAACAATGCATGATACACCACAAAGACTCGTAAAATTTAGTGCTTGACACGTAATGGTGTGGTGTTGCATCACATGCTGGGGTAGACTACGATAATGGATATTTCTTTTTCTCCGAAATGGCAATCCTTTTCATATTTCATATACAATTAAAATGTTTCTTGTGGATGAAGATATTCAACTTTTGGAAGACTGCTCAGGAAAATTCCTGATTTCAATATAATTGAATCATTGTGGTAGGAAATGAAGAAAAAAATGCTCCAACGAAAACCACGTAATCTCCACGAGCTTTTGGATTACTTGCCAAGAAGAAAGGAAAAATAAGTAAAAATGAAAATATCTGGACTTTGTTTCATTCTATGTCACGTTGGATTGAGGCAGTTATTCGAACCCAACGCTGCAGCATTAATTCTTCTTTATTAGGACATAAGCTATCATGGCTCTCCACAACTTCCTATCACTTGTAGCTCTTTATAAACTTCTGTCCATTCATTTACTCAAGATCACTATGTTATGCGTTGTTTCCTCTTGACCCCTATCTATCCCGTGGGTATTAAATCTTCCAACCTCTTCTTGCTCATTACGTACCAAGAAACCTCAACTGTCTCTTCCAGATGTAAAGTATATTTTTAATTTAGTTTTCCCTTACCTGCAAAACTTCTACGTTTCTCACATATTCGGTCCATCTTCAGCATCTCTCTGTAGAACCACATTTCTGTTGCTTCAAGTCTCTTCTTTATCTGTAAGAAGATCGTCCATCACTCACTGTCATATAGAAGGAAATGTGGCACCTTTGTACTCTTTCCCTTGCTTCTAGAGAATTGTTCTATTTCTTAGTACTCTGCTTAGCTTTTAGAATGCTTCCTTGGCTATCTCAATACGCCTTCGGATTTCAGTGTCACACTTTCCGTCCTCTGTTAAAACACTACCCAGATATTTACATTTCCGTAATTGTTTTATTTCGGTATCTCCGATTTGCAGTTCGCATTTTCCTAACAATCATGCATTATGTCTTCTTGTAGTTGATGCTTTATCCCCACTTCTTGCTTTCATTCACAACCCTCTGAAGGCGTTTTCGTAGCTTTCTTTCCGTGTCTGCTATCAACACTGTGTCATCTGCATATCTTATGCTGATAGGACTTCTAGTTCTCCCCGAATCGTCTCGTTGTATAGGTTGCGAAATCCTGGTGAGAAGACACATCCTTTTCTTACACCACAAATTTTCTATCCGTATGCAGGAATTTTGATGCCAGTATAGATTCTTGACTATACTAATTTCTTTCCCAAATATAGCAAGATTTCTTAGCAGTTCCAACAGATCATTATGGCGTACTTTATCGAACGTCTTTGTATAATCTATAAAACATAGATGCCCGTCTTTCGGGATTTCTATTGAACTTTCTGATAATATTCTGAGTATGAATATTGCGTTCAATGTTCCAGTGTCTTTGACGAACCCGTACTGTTCTTGTCCTATTTCTGGACTGATTCTGCTGTGCGCTCTATTCATCAGAATTCAGATGATAAGTTTCGTTATATGGTTCATTAAGCTGATTGCCCAATGGAGTTTGCATTTGTTTGCACTTGGCTTCTTTGGCAGTGCTGTAAAAATAGATCTATTTAGGTCTCCGGGTATATCAACAATTTTGTATATTTCATTTATTAATTCCGTGATCTTGTCTATGCCGAAATCGTCTAAGACCTGAACTCCATAATTTAACCTTATATATATATATATATATATATATATATATATATATATATATATATATATATATATATATATATATATTGTAATAATAAAGATTTACTTTTTGCAAAAACAAAAGAAAGAAGAAAACAAAGCGAAAAAGAAAACATTTTAAGTTAAGGATACTATTTAAAATATGAAATATTCTCTTGAGTCCTAATATTTTTATTTAGTCTTCTTTCGGCAGCAGTGTGCATTACTATCCATCATACAGCATGAACGAAAATGGAGTAATTTGTTTTTTGAACCTCAGAGATTATAAAATGTGAAAAGAACCCTGTTTATCACTCGGTGTATTTTTTAATCAATTCGTGCCAAGGAAGGCGATAATTCCACTAATACACAAAAGACAAGTGAAATAGAATGAAAAGAATTCTGAACGAACCGGAAATCCAACCTTAAACAGGGAAGAAAGGATAAACCTCTGCACCTGTTCAAAAGACCAGGGAAGAGTGTAAAAATAAATAACAAAAGTAATTAATTTACAAAGATGGCTCCCAAAATTTACAAGCCAGTGTATATCTATTGTTTAAAATTTCCTCTATTGACGTCGGAGAGTGCACAGAGCCAGGGAGAGTGGGTTTGTTGATATATGAAGTGTCTGAAAATAAGGCGTGTGAAAATTTGAATTTTCTAGACATTTAGGGAGATACCTCGGAAAAATATAGTTATCCATACAGGGAGGCTTAACATTAAATTTAAATGACCAAAACTTATGGCAGTCGACGTATCAAGACGCATAACCCAAACGATATCATTCAGGATTTATACTGATCATGTTTTTAATTTTTGCACTGTTATTTCTACATATCCTTCTTTTCCATAGTGGTAATTTCGTTAGGAAAGGAAAAATGTTTTATGGCCAGCGACGTGAATTCACCGTGGAAGATTCCGAAATTAGTGCACGTGCGATATATTTTAGCCTTAATTTCTTTGACAGTGGTGAAAACAACTCTCCAGAAGCGACGATCTTTTTTGCATCGGCAAATTACTTAGGCGTTGTCAGAAAGATTTTGGATAGAAATTTAGCAAACTTTTATCTTTGGAAAAGTAAACCAATTCTTTGTGCAAGAGGATATAACACCTTCTATTTTTTATTTATTTATTTATTTATTTTTTGTGAGCCATTTAAAGAATGTGGTTTACAAGAGAAAATCTGAAATACTTCAAGATTTAAAGGACTTTAATTGAAAAAGAGACAGGTTCGATAACATCTGAAATGTGTCAAGATGCTATTCAAATTTTTCCTGAAAGACTACAAATTTACGTTGACAGTAGTGGCTATTCTTTTGAGAAATATCAATTTTTCTTTTTCGTTTCATTTGCTAATAAAACTTTTCCATAATATCACATCTAAATTTTATTTATATTTTTGTTATTTAAATGATGTCGTTACATTTTATATATATATATATATATATATATATATATATATATATATATATATATATATATATATGAGTGTATGTGAGAGAGAGAGAGAAAGAGAGAGAGAGAGAGAGAGTTTCATACACATTGAGGACATTGAGCCCAGTTTTTACTCAAACTGACAAGTCTAATCAATCTTTAACTGATATATATAATTTACACTCGGATATCAAATGTTAATGCCATACTATATCTATCTATCTATCTATCTATCTATCTATCTTTCTGCGTTTATTATCTGTCTATCTATCTGTCTATCTATGTGGTGTATGCGTGCGTGCGTGTGTGTGTGTGAACATTATCGTTTAAATCATCTTCCACCTTAATATTTGTTTATTTATCTCCTTGTGTCAGTAGCAATCGGCCATAAAGAAATCACATCAGTATCAATATCTAACATTTTATCACAGTGTATTCATAGAACCATCTATCTATCTATCTATCTATCTATCTATCTATCTATCTATCTTTTACAGATCATTTCTGTCTTAGTCCGTCCATATCTATCTATAACAGATTATGTCTGCCTTAGTCTGCTCATTTCTATCTATCTATCTATCTATCTATCTATCTATCTATCTATCTATCTATCCCAATTTGTTTTCTATATGCCTATGCAAAGCTGTTCATATCTATCTATCTATCTATCTATCTATCTATCTATCTATCTATCTATCTTTTACAGATCATTTCTGTCTTAGTCCGTCCATATCTATCTATAACAGATTATGTCTGCCTTAGTCTGCTCATTTCTATCTATCTATCTATCTATCTATCTATCTATCTATCTATCTATCTATCTATCTATCCCAATTTGTTTTCTATATGCCTATGCAAAGCTGTTCATATTCATCTATCTATCTATCTATCTATCTATCTATCTATCTATCTATCTATTTTTACAGATCATTTCTGTCTTAGTCCGTCCATATCTATCTATAACAGATTATGTCTGCCTTAGTCTGCTCATTTCTATCTATCTATCTATCTATCTATCTATCTATCTATCTATCTATCTATCTATCCCAATTTGTTTTCTATATGCCTATGCAAAGCTGTTCATATCTATCTATCTATCTATCTATCTATCTATCTATCTATCTATCTATCTATCTTTTACAGATCATTTCTGTCTTAGTCCGTCCATATCTATCTATAACAGATTATGTCTGCCTTAGTCTGCTCATTTCTATCTATCTATCTATCTATCTATCTATCTATCTATCTATCTATCTATCTATCTTTCTGTGTGTGTGTTTGTCTGTGAGCGTGTACATTATTATTTAAGTAAGCTTCTACCATAATATTTGTTTATTTATATACCTGTGTCACTAGAAATCACATCAGTTTCAAAATTCTATGTCAGTGTATTCATAGATCAGTCTGTCTATCTATCCATTTGTCTATCTTGAAATTACTATTTAATTTTGTTTGTTTTAATCATTTTCTCTCGCTGTATATAAGCCTAACAGTTTGTCTCAATGTAATCAGATCAATATCTATCTATCTATCTATCTATCTATCTATCTATCTATCTATCTATCTATCTATCTAAATTATTATTTAATTCTGCCATTGCCATACTATTTTTTTATTTATTTCCCTGTGTCCCTAGCATTCTGTCACAATGAAATCATATCAATATCAAAGTATATGAATCTATATAAATGTGTCCATCTATCTATCTATCTATCTATCTATCTATGTAAATTATTATTTAATTCTGCCATTGCCATAATATTTTTTTATTTATTTCCCTGTGTCCCTAGCATTCTGTCACAATGAAATCATATCAATATCAAAGTATATGAATCTATATAAATGTGTCCATCTATCTATCTATCTATCTATCTATCTATCTATCTATCTATCTATGTAAATTATTATTTAATTCTGCCATTGCCATAATATTTTTTATTTATTTCCCTGTGTCCCTAGCATTCTGTCACAATGAAATCATATCAATATCAAAGTATATGAATCTATATAAATGTGTCCATCTATCTATCTATCTATCTATCTATCTATCTATCTATCTATGTAAATTATTATTTAATTCTGCCATTGCCATAATATTTTTTTATTTATTTCCCTGTGTCCCTAGCATTCTGTCACAATGAAATCATATCAATATCAAAGTATATGAATCTATATAAATGTGTCCATCTATCTATCTATCTATCTATCTATCTATCTATCTATCTATCTATGTCCGGTTTCTTTCTTTCTTTCTTTCTTTCTTTCTTTCTTTCTTTCTTTCAAGCTGTCTCAGTCTATTAGTATTTCTATTTTACTTCCTCTTGCGATTATCTATCGATCTACCATCTCTGATGAATCTTCATATTTTCTTGTTTCATCAAAGTGCTGTATCTATGATCCACAACCTCTACACAACTGTCTCTCTGATCTCACTTTTTTTCCTCATTTTTGAGCTCTCCTTCCCTCTCTGATCTCTTAATCCTTTACCCCTCACCCTTTTACCCCCCTCCTTCGACTCATCGTATATCGCCCCTCTAACCACCACCCTTTGCTCGTATTATCCTTCCTTACGTTTCTACTGTTCGCAACTCGTTGCATCCACTGTCTCTTTCACGTAAACCCTGCCATAATCCGGGGAACATGTTACTGTCAAACCTCATTTTGAACTCCATCTATCAACCATTCCAGCTGCTGCGGCTATACGTGGGTTATACGTCTTCCTTCACTTTCCCAGCATGCACTGCACTAATACTACCACGTTCCTTCATTCATTTTCTAGACCCTTCGTTTTCTCTTTCTCTTTCTTGCAGCTCTCGCTTCTCTTTGCCATTTTTTTCTCTCCCTACTGGTTGTCATTTTAGCTTTCTTTATGCTTTTTGGGGTGTTTTCTTTTTGCTCTCTGTCATTCTCTTTTGGAGATTTCCCGCGCATTTTTACCGACACGCTATGTCCTTTATACCATAATCCTGATTTATTTCGCAATTCCGGTCATCTTTCTTTTTTTTTTTTTGTCACATTCTCCATTTACAAGCATTCTCGCCACACTCTTTCCCTCACCCTAACAACTCTTTATCTTAAATATATGCTTACTTATTATATTTTTCTTACCACTCACCTTCTTTGTTCATGCCCGCCATTTTTTTTTTTTTTTGCTACTCTTTCGCGTTCTCCTCTTCCAGCTCGCATTGTAATGATATCGTTTCTCGACCACTCACGCTTCGGCATATCTTGTTTCACTATGTCAATCTTTGCCTATCTTCTCGCGAAATAAACCTTCCACTTTCTTAACAGAAATGGACCTTCAATTATCGATCGGCTGCCTGTATATCTCATCCGCCAAATCCTCTCGTTTATACCGTCGCCTTTCGTCGTTCTGTTTATCCTCCTTGAAATTCTTTATTGTCATCGTTCCTCAATATATTATCTTCTGAGATTTACGGCCCTAACGCGACATCAACGTACGGTTTCGCTGAAATGCTGTCTCTAGGCAACCGCGTTTCTGTCATTAAGCCGTCCTTGGAATGGACAACGTCCTTGAAAATACCGCACACATTCGTGTATAAGTCGATCCAGTTTGGGGGTTGGCTTTTTGATTATTCGACAAAGGCATCTTTATTTTGCTTGGATTTTTTAAATAAAAATATTTTCATCGCAAGGCCTTTGTTTCATTTTCATACGTTGCTTTCTTTTTACGGAATTTTCGCAACTATAAATTCATTTTTCTATTTCAAAAGTTGAATCGGCTTCTAAAAGAGAATGCGCGTTTGTTTTCAAACACCTAAAACCGTTATCTCTGTATGTTTTTCGTATTTCAAGTCAAGTTTTTTTCTCGTATTTCACCCGACCATGGTCGTAAAGCCACTAAAACAGAAGATGTTAGTAAGTGTGAAAGAATGAGAAAAAAAGAGAAACAATATTACGGGGCGAGAACAATAAAAGAAGAGGAATCAAGAATGCAGAAGATAACGATTGAGATAGCATTTAAATTTTTAAATTATTATGGGGTTTTTCTAAGAGGAACTTAGATCCCTAACAAGGGCGAAAGTATGGGGCAGCCTCGGCAGTTTTCTAAGCTTAGCTTAGATGAATAACGACGACGAATGTATGGGGCAATCAGTGAGGATAGAACTCACTACTCATTCATTATCGATCTAGCGATACAAGCTTGCTAACCATTAGACCACGACGAAGTGACCATTTACGCAACAATTATCCTGGGAAATATTAAGATGCTCATTTGACATGCAATACTAGCACCAAAAAATCCAATCAAAAGTTGACTATATATTTGGTTGGAGAGGTTAGAGTTGTATTTTGGTAAACAAGGGGACGGCACTGCCCACCACAAATTATGGTACCGCTGATTCAATCTTTCTCTTATAGATGATTCCTAACATATAAAACCTATTAAAATCAGAACTAGAAGAACTATCAACATTCCAGTTCATTCCACACACATTGAAGGAGATTGTCGACAGAGAAAGAAAGCTTTCATTAAGGTCAGATGAACTTGACAAAAAGCACCCCATTCAGACCACTCCTAAGATGTCAATACTCAAGACTATCTCATACCAACGGTCAAGTGGTCAATTAATGATTAGATTATAAAGAACAACTCTTGACCCTTTGCTATTAGATTAATTTTATGTAGTACTGGAAGACCTTAGCCAAAAATGTAATTGTAATTGGGCGTTTGTAAGATCTCTCTCTCTCTCTCTCTCTCCTCTCTCTCTGTATATATATATATATATATATATATATATATATATATATATATATATATATATATATATATAATTATTATAAATTAATTGATTTAAAATATGGTTTTTCCGCGTTTTATGCTCTGTAAATTTACATTGAGCACTATTTTGAAAAAATAAAATATCTATAAGAACACCGGATTATATATCTTACTGTTCTTTCTTTATATATATATATATATGTGTGTGTGTGTGTGTGTGTGTGTGTGTGTGTGTGCAAAAAACAAAAAACGCATGAGCGAAATTAAAATATCAAATGACGACAGTTTATCCATCGCACTATCTCTCTCCCTCCCCCTCTCTCTCTCTCTCTCTCTATATATATATATATATAGAGAGAGAGAGAGAGAGAAAGAGAGAGAGAGAGAGAGATAGAGAGAGAAAAAATGGTGCGATGGGTAAACTGTCGCCATTTGATATTTTTTAATTTCGCTTATGGGCGTTTTTTTTTTGTTTTTGATTTTGTCGACTGCACTTTATAGTAGGTTCAGTTGGGCACTCTTCGTGAGACAAAAAAAAAGCACCATGTTTCAATTCACTCCGCCAGAACTTTAGAAACGGCATGTTGTGCTGCTTGGCATTCGCGCCGAAAGCTGCAATACGAACATTTCATAGTGTCTGGGTGTCAATCTGTGGAGAGTGCCGGAGATTTGGAAAGAGTTGGATGAGTCTAATGATTACGAAGGTACAGCAACTAAGAAAATTCACTCTGATCATTTTGATAAGAAAAGAACTTCCGAATTTGATGATGAGGTCAGACTCCACTCGAAAGCCTATATCAAGTGCCTTGAGGAGATAGTGTTGTCTTGGGTCAAGAGGCTGGCGACTGAAAAACCCTATGTTGGACAGCAGGACTCTGTTAGACAATTTCTGCGACCACAAAACCCCTTACAACTGGGCACCTAACTCCCCAGACTGCAGCCCCCTTGATTACTATGTGTAGGGCGCAGATGAGCGATATACCAACAAAATTCTTTGTAATACCAAAGATGAACTGAAGGCAAGAATTATGGCAGCATTCACCAACGACCGCCCAAAAGAGTTACAGGAGATTCTGAAGTCGACTGGAGGCCGGAGGTGAAGCCAGTTGTGACTTTATTGAATAAATTTACTCTTTCGTAATTCAAGATTATTTTTTTTTCTAAATTTGGTAAATGTATCTGTTAAACTGAGATGTTATTTTCATTTTTGCGTAATTTAGACGATAATTTATCCATTGCGCCCTATATATATATATATATATATATATATATATATATATATATATATATATATGTGTGTGTGTGTGTGTGTGTGTGTGTGAGGAAAGAGAGATAAAGTGAGATTGAGGAAAGATAATGTTCGAATTATAGAAAATAACTTTAGAACGGTAAAACAATGATGTTAAAAGAAGATCATAATTTGTAACAACAAAGTGGATGGGTAACAAAATATTACAGTAAAATCGTAATTTAAAAATACAACACGATCAACAAAAATGGGCGATAAACCAGTTTGTCGGTTCTCGCTTGCCAGTGCTAAGTTCCATGTAGACAACCACTAAAAATGACAACCCAATATCAAATGTAATATGATAGAAAATATCACCCTTACCAGTACATTAACTTTAAGCCCACCAATCTCTTCTGCTTACAAAGAAATGGTTGGTAGGACTTAATATACACAATAAGCATGGCTAAATTTAATTATCTTTATGCACAACAACCAACAAATAAATACAGAAACGAAGAATATACAAAAAATGTGTATGTAAGATGGTGACGGTAAAAAATGTATTATAGTTGAATATGAGACTATTTAAGAACTTTGATAAAGTTTAAAACTAATCCTAAAACTTAAAAATAAGTAAATAGCTGGCCACTCGTATCCGAGGATGCCCCTCTACTGACGCAACTAACCAGTCCTTGTTACAGACGCCACGCTCTGTCACATTAGTGTTTGTTCCACACCCACAAATCCCACCTGTGGTTTATACAGCTACTAAGCGGACTTTAGTTACGATTTCTGAAAGAGGGAGGGAGAGAGAGAAAGAGAGTGTCGTTATCTAGTGTGATCAACAATCTGAATAAAGACTGTACGCTGAAACACTCACGATGACATGTGAAATTCGTGCTCGGACAAACGTCTCCCCCAAAGGGTTTCGTTCACCCAATTTTAATCCCAAGACTTTGGTCAACCCGACTGTATGATTTCCATGTACTTTCCAAAGGTCGCCTCCCTCAGATCGATAACATCAAGAAGTCGCTTTCCAGAGAAATCGACCATCGTGGAATTCGAACCCGGGTTCTCACGGTCAGAAAATGAAGGTTCTAACGACTCGGGCATTGTTTGTGTCTAAAGATCCCGTAGGACACACGTGACAATGGACTAGTGGTCAAACGCCTTTGGTGACGTGATGCTTGTGATTTCGATCCCTGGGTCGGGCGGTGTGTATTTGCGAGGAATATCTGAACAGTAGTAAATTAGAGCAAGACGTTATACTTAGACATGCGCAGTGGAACGAAAATAGTCCATTGCCGTAGATGAAATAAAGGGTTCAATTCAGAATTCCCTGCAGGATACACATATCGATAAACACTCGTAGAAGGCCGAAGGACACAACGGCAGAAATGTTCTGATGGCAATAGTACGGATATAAATAATGATATCTCCTCACCCTAGTAATTAACCTATAATTAGTACATTTTTAGAAAGTTTATTAATTCCGGATACGTTTAGAAAATTGGAAATAATTGTAAAAGCTAAGTTCTGTTATTGCATCATATAAAAGACCGAATTAGATAGATAGATAGCTAAGATTATAGTGTAATGACTCAGCATACAAATCCACATCCATATTAGACGTTTCCTGTTAAGGCATTTATTGACCGAAAAGCCAGTCTGACTCAAGGTACGCTTTTCCTCATTCCGTGGCCATCAGACTGCGATCAAAGTGAAGTATCTGTTCACCTCGTTTCTAATGCTTATGACAATATTAGCCGTTTACTTTTAAGAAAACATTCAACATTCATTGACTAAACAACCAGTGTTAGTTTTGGTTAAAATTTATAAGATTTTTCTCTGAAAACTATTTTTCACTTAAAACAATTTTTCTGGAAAATAGGTTTCTCAAATCCGGTAACTGTTATTGATCTTTCCAGTACTGATTTGAACTTACTTTCTAACCTTTTGTTTCAATTAGTGTGGAAAATCAACATCTTGATTATGTCATTATTTTCTCGTTGCTTGACGTCCTATCCATTTAAATTGTTGTTGCTGCCTCTGGAAGTCCTCAACTCATATTGCCTTACATTCGACATGGAAATGGCACACGTATTTTTCAGGGTATATTTTTAGAAAAGTAAGTGCGTCTTGTAAGCCGAAAAATAGATTACTACATTTTTTTTTATTTGAATTTTTATTATTATTACCAGATTTTACCTTAGACATTAATATGTTAAGGCTGCTTTCTGACAAGTAATAGGTAACCTATTTTCCAAGTATAGAGATTTGTCCAAGTTGTTTCACATGAAAGTGAACGGTTGAATAGCTTTTAGCTAAGTCTTTATAATTTATAACATTGTTATTTTTATTAATTTCAAGCAAAACTGGTTGATGTTATTAGGTTAGGAGTCGTTATTTGAAGTTAAAAAGGTGTCGTGTGCTGAGGAATAAAATATAAATGTGTTGAATTCCTTGTGAAAATAAACGAAAGAGAAAG